TTATAAAATTTTCCCTCTCTCTCTCTCAATATCATAGTTCCTCGTTTCATGAGTGCTAATAATCGTGCAACGTGTCACCCATCAAGAAGAGTGAGATGGTGCGTCGCGTCGAACTTGGAAGAAAACAAGTGCCGATGGCTCAGAGAAGCTTCGATCGTGTACGGCGTGGAGCCGGCAATTTCCTGCATCCAGGAACTGACCAGAGCCGACTGTTTGAAGGCTGTTGAAACCGAACGAGCGGATATATTTGTCGCAAGGCCGGACGAGCTGCTCGATGCTAGAAAGTGAGCAAAGATCGAGCCTGTAATAAACTCGTGGATAGAAAAAGTAGTGGCTATAGTGTCTAGAATGTTTCAGAATGGATCTGAAAACGATGGTGCAGGTGGTACCTAAAAGGAACAACGAATTCGTTAGGATCGCGGCAGTCGTGAAAAGGGACTCGTGGTTCAAGAATTTAAAGGACCTGAAGGGGGCCAAAGCATGTTTCACGGGATATCGCGACGTTGGTGAGTACATTCCCATCTTCTGGCATAGTGATTTCGATAGTAATCTGCAGGACAAAGTTTTCCTTATTTCTGCGAATCAATAAGTGGAAATTTAATTACCGTGAAATAAAGAATAAAATTATAACTATATAAGTTATAGATATTACCTGTCCTTGACATTATGTCAGTCAATATTTTTCTTTGAATATTTTCACTGTTTTCTTTTTTTTTTCAAATGTTCTTTAATGACGGACATTTTCGCAGGATGGAATGCTTTTGTGGCTACTTTGAAGAATATATCAGTTACAGATCACTGCTCAGATATAGAAGCAGTTTCTAAGTTCTTCGCAGAGAGTTCCATTGTTGGTCTGAGCGACAGTGACGGCCAAATGCCGTATAATTTACATGCCTTGAATAAACAAGGTGCGTACACGTGGCGTGATAATCGAATTAAGAATGAAACGGCGCGATTTGTGTACTAATTAAACAAGAAAACAATGCGATTTATAGCGAACGGAATTGATAAAGACTTGATTGCTTTTGACTGTATGATGTCTAATGCCGGAGATGTGGCTTTTGTTAATTTGAAGAGTATCGAAGGAAAAATTGGTAAAATTATATTTTATAAAATTGGTAAAATACTATTTTATAAAATTATATTTTTTTCCCCGTTACTTTATTTTAAATTCATTATCAAATTCATTATTTCTTGAATTTATTATTTTAGACAATTTAGTACAAAAACGTGGTAATCAGGCAAGAAATACCAGGTACCGAACTCTATGCCTCAATCAGATCGATTCGAATGAAATGTGCTTGCTCACGTGGGCTCCGTTGGGCATGGTAATTCCCTTGTGATAAAAACAATTTTGCAGTACGAAGTATCGAAAGTAACGTTATTGAATATTATTTTCAGATAGTGACACATGAAAATATGACAGACTTGAGACGAGAAGAAATCTACTCAATGTTGTTGGAAATGGACAAGCTTTTCGGAAGCAGTTTCAAAGGCCCAACGCCCGCTTTTTCCATGTACGGAATGTACGATTCAAATCGTAGTATTATATTCCCGGTACGTAGGAGCATATCAGCTTTAAAATATCAAGATGGCTATATATAAAATTATAATATTTCCCTAGTCTTCTCTAGTTTTCGTCGGAACTTATGCACATGCAATCTAAAGGTCGCTCGAGTATAGTTACTTTTTCTCTATACTTCTCGTTTTGAACCATCCCGTAATAAACATAACCTTTCTCGCAGAAGGCCCATGGGAAATGTGAGCATTTGAAAGAAATGTAAGGTTTGCCTTTCGCGTCCAACGCAACAGCGCCTATGTCACGTCTCCCAGTTTTGCTCTCAAAGTTTTGCAGAACTGTGTTTACCGCAGTGCTCGACACTGATATATCTTCAGATAACATTTTAACTATCCTCCGTGCTGGCGCGTAACAATAGATACTTGTATCATTACCAGAAACAGAGGTGCAACCATGTCCATCTGTATAAATGCCGCAACCGATTACCGTACCGATTGCGCTTAGACAGCCGACCGGTTTCCCGGGATCACCAGCTGTCGATGTCCCGCTTGCAAGTCGCTTCTTACGATCGTATGCAACTGCTCCAACCGCACTAACCTGATATTCATATTCTTCAAATATATTTTATGAAACCTGAGGGCTTGCAGAATTTGAAGACCAGGATTATACTTTTATTGTAAATTTTCTAATCGGTCTAATATTACCTGTAAAGTCATTGGATCATCCCAATCTGTTAAATCGGCCGATGATACACGATAAGGATACGCTTCTCCGTCTAGAGATCGATTTATAAAACAATCCGAATCACATTCTGTTTTCTTGTTCTCGTCATCATCATTCCATTTATTTTCTTCATTTTCTTCTCTGTTCATACAGTATGTGTGTAAAGATTTGACGTTTGATGGTAACGAATCGGCTGTGTTTAAACTTCCCGGCGGTAGAATTGGAATTCCGTTATCCAAAGCAAACTTTCGGGCACCGTTTTCAACGATTAGAACATGCCCCGTTTTCTCTAATACTTTTCGTGCTATCGTTAGAAATTGAAATCGGAAGTTACAGTGAATCGTTAAATATTGATGGAATTAAATGGAAATTACAACGGATCATCAAATATTGACTCGTCGGATAAAATGTACCCAAAGAGATAGGATGTTCTATGTCACGAACAGCACCCACACATCCAGCATCGCATGTCGTCATTATAGCAGCATCTGTGACAATTTCATCGTTAACGTTCAAAGAGCCTCCTCTCGCGCAATTAAAAAGCGGCCTGCTTTCCATGTAAGCAATTGCTTTTTCTACTGCATCTGTGGCTGACCGACCGTTGATAAGATCGCTGTATGCCTCAATGGCGGCATTTTTAACCTATTTGAATAAACAAAAATCTTCATTTAATAAGTACTTAGATATGATTTATTAAATGAAGTCGTTGTATAGAAATGATGATCGTTTCATCAACGATCACGTATATTTTGTAAATAATTACTTTTTATTTTTGCATAAATAATATATAAATATTATTCCAAACCTCGAAGAGCATGCGTTTATATTTCGTCCGAGGAATTTTTCCAGCGCCCCCATGAACTACTATAATTGGATCAACGTAAACACGACGTTTCTTTTTGTCCAATTTTGACTCGTATTTGATTCTCGCTAAAATTTGATCGATCCAAGAGCAATAATCACACATTGTGAATGAACAACATAGAATTTTACGGCAGGGAATAGGTTTATTAAGGGGTTTCTGTTATTTAAAAACAAATGCAAATGCCCTTTTTTTCTTGCAGGAGGAAACGCAACATCTACAATTAGAAGTTCATCAAATTCAACAAATACCAAGTTATTCTGATATCGTTAACGATCTTGTAAAACGAGTTCATTGCAGCGGTGCACGAGATTTGAATTTCTATTATAGTTACATGATCTTTATACATATTTCTATCGTTGCATTAAGTAAATTACAAATTACCTAAATATGAATGTTTTTTTTTACATCACTGTATAAGTCTGTGTTTAGAATAATAAAAAATTTATTACAGAAGGTTTTCGTTACGAGGATATTATTTAAATACATTATATTATAAAATTATGAATTGTATTCAATTCATGGACGGCATCGATTTTGTGCATTACAGTAAATAAATGTGCATAATAAATAACAATAGTTTATACAAGTTGCTAGCTTTGCTTGCTTAAATTATAATAGTGTAAAAAATTTTCAATAGACACATACATTATAATCATAGAATTGTCCTTAAATACTATTTAAACGTGTATCGTTCACTTTAAAAATCACAAACACATATCTAAGGGATATAAAAACCGTTTCAATTCACTAGAAGTATAAAAAAAAATTTCAATTCCTTTGAATATTTTCTTATAAAATATAATCTTATAAAATCGCTACGTATCGCATGAAAGTATTTAATTCTTGTAAATAATCTTCTTTTCTTGAATGATAAAAACTCGCCTTTAATTTGTGTATTTCTGCATGCCCAGATTCTGTACCAAACGCCTGGAAAAAATGACATATTCAATTTTGATATCTCATGTATAAATCAGACCAAATATTGATACATACTAAATACTGATGACACATATCGTGTTTTGTTTTGCAGTATGATAATTGCATACTTTTTATATATCCATCATTTTGCACATTTATTTTATATGTAGGATATATATCATTATTACTTAAATCCCATATATGTATACTGAAATATACAAAAGTTATTTATACTGTTTAAATCAATATTTACTTTTTAAATTTTCGTTACCATGATTTATCGTCCAGTACAAAAAATGTAAATGGTTTCGACCTTGACCACTGTATCGATTTAATAACATAAGTATTATCTTCATCTTTTAATTGTAAAATTGGTTTCTCAGTACTTAAAGAATGCAATCGAATTGTTCCATCATCGCAGCCAACCTATAATAAAAAAAAAATTACTATAGAAACAATAAAAGAATATAAAGCAGTGAATGTATGTAAAAATATTACCAGAAAAAACGAATATTCAAATGGACAGATTTCTATACAAGTTACGTTTCCACATGAATCTGAAATATCGAAGAAAATAAATTTACAATGAACGAATTAAAATTGATGTTATATTAATAACTTACAAGTATCCAATTTCGTATATACAGCAGGATTAGCTTTGTTACCAATACAAGTACCATGCAAAATATTATTACTGTTAGTTATGATATAAAAATTGTTACTATCAACACAATCCACATGTATATCAACGAAGGTAGCTATATTGATTTTTCTAAAGAGTTAAAAGAATTTCATAAAACTTTCATAAAAATGCTTATTAAATAATAAATATATATTGTTAAGGAATATTTACTTTTTTTTATGATGAGAGTGTAAAAAGATTTCTTGATTTTTAACAAGTTTTATACTACCCCAAAACGATAGTCCTATATCATCGACATTTTTGCCCATTTTATGTAAAACACTCCATATAACAAGCGAACCATTTTCATTCAAACTACATATCTATATATTAGTATAAGTAACGTTGATAATTAATATGAAATAATTAATACAGATAATGTCAATAAAGTTAATAATTAAAGCATTGTACACAAACATTGCATTGTATCACAAAATCTAACATGTACAATTTTAACAAACCTGTATTGGTACAAATTTAGTATTATGACGGTCTATTGATTTTTCTTCAATTTTAGATAATATACGTATTGCAACAATTTCTGCTATACAATTTATTTCTATATTTGCTGCGGTGGTATATGTAGGCATTCGTATTGTCCAATCTGAATTGTTGGCTTTATCTGTTACTTTTTGATGCCACATTTCATCTTCCTTTAAATCCCAAAGGCTTATCGACCTATTGTTCAAGATGTTTGTTTATTTTTAAGTAGTACAACAATCGGTATAACAATATCAGTAGTAATGATATACCCATCCTGAAGTCCAGCAAATACGATGTTGTAATTTGTTGAATGAAAACAGCATGATGTAATAGGACAAGTAGAATATAATAATTTAATTGGCATTGATGGTTCAAAAATGTTCCAAACGCATCCGATACAACAATCGGTTATATAATCTTGTTTGCAGGATGTCTCAATTTCCTGTATAAAATATCACGTTTAATCTATAAATCTTGATAATGCAGTAAATAATTCTTACTTCTTCAGCTGGAGAATGAATAGTCAGTAGAATTTTATTTGAGACTTCTGAATAATGAATTATCGTTACCGCTCTACCAGCCAGAAATGTTACGGAATTTATAGAAAGTTTAACAACACCGTCACTAAACGATATTTCTTCTTCGTTCTTAAATACATTACCGCCAGATCGTCTTTCCTCTAGTAATGATAACATTACTTTGCCTGCGCGACTCATAAAATCATTTAATCGCAACACATCAAAAGATTGTGATAACAAAGAATTCATAGTTTCTATACTATTATCACTACCAACTCCAATTTGATCCTAAAAAACGTGATATTTAAAGTTATATTGATATTTAAACATAATATATTGATAAGTAAGTGATAAGTTTATGTACCATACGAAATAAGTCTAAATCTTCTTTAGTTTGTAAATTTTTTTTACAAGTTATTGGAAATTGAGTCCATTTGTTTTTAAATATTATTTTCTCCGTTTGTGTATCTATATCAATATTATCTTCACCAGTTTGCATGGACATCTAAAAATTAGATTAGACGCATTAATTTTTCAATTGATAACAATTTAGTATTGTTGTCATACAATCATCATACTTGTTGAGTGTTTAATTTTCCATAATTTCTAATAAATTCTTCATATGGTATAGGTGAACATTCCAAAAGAGACCACTCTATAACATCTAATTTTATCATTTCTAATAATCTTTCACCTCTACTTAAGTTTTTCTTGGATTTCTGAAAGCAATAATAAATAAAATTATTAAAATTTCACTACTTCGTGTCAATTTATCACCTTTTTATTCTTTGGTTTTTGTTCTTCTTTTGTTCGACGAAAATCGATATACGAAATTTGCGAGAGTGGTGGTGATTTTGCGAAATCACCAGAACGGCTATCTTCGAATCCTTCATCAGTAGATAATGGCAATGATTTATTTTCTGATTTATCCTCGCTATATAAAAATGCGTACACATACACACATATATATATTAAATTTTTATTAAAATGAATATTATTTTAGCAATCATATAATAAAAATATAACTATTGAAAACAATATGAACATCATTTAATCGTCTTGAAACTTGATTTTACTTAGAACAAACCTATATGATTTATTAAGTGGTTGCTTTATCTCAAGAAGAGAAGATAGCTTTGGATTATTTGCAATTGATTCTATTCTTGCTGCTCTCTTCCTTGCTTCTGTAAGCTCGTAATGACCAGAATCGTACATATGTTCTTCCTCTTTTTGTTCTCCACTATTCACAATTTTCTGCTATAGTAAAGAGATAACTTAAAATGAAAATATCACTCTTTTCAATACTATCCTATATAATAAAGTAAATATTAGTACTTGTTTTGCCGTATGCAATTCAATTGGATCCAATGGTACGTTAGTATGAATAATATTTGTTTCTTCACTAACTTCAGATGTTTCACTGTCTGTGCATTCTTGAAAATCAGATTCATAATCCTACGAAATAACTTAAATTAGGTTTAAATTATAAATTATGTGTATAATACATTATTTTACCTCAAAATCATCTTCATAATTATATTTATTATCTGCCTGAACTACTTTTTCTTCCTTACTCTGGTCCATTTTCTGTATGGAATTTGATCTATTAGTAGCAGAATGTAACACTTTTACTTCACTTGGACTTAATGTTCTAGACAATCTACGTTGCCTAGACTTCATTTTCGATTCAGTTGTTTCTGATGAATTTGACTGTGTTCTAACTTTTTCTTCTTCTTTTGATATTGAGTTAATACTTTTATTAGATGATTTAGTATTAATTTTGCTTGTAAGTGGCTGTGGTACAAATATTGTACTCAGTCCTCTCTTTTCCGAATAATTACTGTGTATTTTTCTACTACTACTTTTAGTGCTTTTCACAGCATTACTGCTTGATGGTTTTACAGGTTCAACTGATGATTTCGTTGTTAAAATACTTTTTGATGACATCTTAGAATTATTAATATTTGATTTTGATGTTGGGAAGAAACTTTCTTTGGTTGAGAGATTTTTAGAAGATTTAAGGGGATATCTTGTATTACTTTTGCTTGACTGTAAATTTTGTGTCAATCTTAGATAACTATCACTGTCTTTTCTTTTTTCAACAGTTTGAGACGTCCTCATCAATCTTAAATCTACTTTTTCAGAATCCTCTGAGTTTTTAGAAGACAATGAACTTCTTGATTTTGATTTAACATTTGATTGATCTCCATTCCTGGCGGACGAATCTTTTTTAATTGCTCCCTAAAATATAATATATGCATCAGACTTTTCTCATAATTCTCTTACCTTCATTTGAAAATTGAAAAATCCTATGATTTATATAATCGTCAAAATTCTATCAATAGCACATACACTAATGAGATTAATATTGTTTTATTTACGTAATGATTTTATACTGTCTAAAAAAAAGTCGATAAACTCGAGGTTGTTAGTTAATATGCACTCTAAACTTGGATCATGAAATTATAATGGCCGAGTATGAGAATTGAAATAACATTCAAGTAGTGACAATGCGAGGCGTTCAGATGAGATCTACACAAAAATAAAATGCTAGAGTTGATGTTTTAAAATACAATGAAATAACACCTTGTGAGACATTTCTTCTGATTGATTGACGTTGACAGTTCTTACAAGACCACCATGATGTAAACTAAACTACCATCATCGTTGTGACAACGCTACGCATAGCTGTTTTACAAAACTACTACGGAAAGATATGTGTACCATCTATTGGTAAAAAATGATAAATTCATAGCACCACCACAGACGAGGTATATGAATAATTAATTTAATTGCTTAATTTGCAATAGGAAACTTGTAAAAATTATTAAATAATGTTTAGAGATGTTAGAAATATTATAGAAATAAAATAATTTAACTGTTAAATTCATTTAAATGAATTATTCAAACTGTATAATAATGCGTTTCTATGATGTTCTTGTATATTATTTAATAATTTTATCAATTGAATCGGTGATTAAGTTCTTTTATATTTCATATTTCATCATTGATTAACTAGCAAGTTAGTCAATGATTTCATATTTCAATACATGTATCTCGTCTGTGGTCCGATCTATCTTATCATTCGTCGATAAAAATTGGAAAATGAAAAGAGATTAATTATTTGACCGCATTTGGCACGTATCGCAGACAAATCAGTTGTCATGTATCAAATATAACAAACAAAATGGTTTTCCGTTTACAAAGACAATACTAAATTAGACAATTTACAAACTTTTCTTTCGTATAATTTCTTTTCTTTTGTAAATGTTGTAAAGTAATCACAAAATGGCGCTAGGACGCAAAGGTTATCGATGTGAAATAATAGGAAAAAACGTAAGGAGGGGACAAGAAATTAGGTACAGGAGATCAATTAATTAATTTCAAACACTTTATCTTTTCAAACTCTGTTCTTTTTAATGATTCATAACCATGGATATGCATAAATTATTCAGAAACAGAAGCAATAAAAACAGCGAGCAAGGTTTTCTACGATGCTCTGAACAGAAATCAACAGTTTCCGATTTGGTGTATAAATATTTAAGAAAGGTTGCGTATATCAACAGCGTTCGAAAACAGCGTAACAATGCATGCAATAAGTTTCGAAGAAGAAACGCGAAAAAAACGACTGTCCATCCGTCGCGCAGATATTCAAATGCAGGTATGAGCTCAGAATAAGTTTTGATGTAATATAATTTATTATATATTATTAATATAATAATAATAACATATAATATATATAATAATAATAAATATAATATAATTTATTAATCTATGTAAATAATACGAAATCATATCGCTTATGTGTAACATGTTCTAGATGATCACGGATTAAG